TCATTATGTAAATTTTGAAATGTGCTTTTGTCTTATAATTATACGAACGATTATTATTGATTAATTTATTAATTCTTTAATTTCGATTAATATTAAAAGAGTAATCTGAAATGTAACGTTCATTTTTATACGATTAAGAAAAATATGATGAAAATCGTACACCGATTAAATTGTTTGAACTCAACGAAATGTAATAATTAAAATTCACGCAATATTCTACATTACTTTTTAACTATCTCCGATTTTACTTTCGTCTTCCGAAACAAGAACGGATGACAAACGGAATTCTTCGCAAAAATTTCACAAAACCGTCCATACATGTGGTGGTTTCCTGCAAATAATATAAATATTTCTTCAATGAAATATGAAGATTAAATTATCCATAGTTTATGTAAAAATGTTGGTTTAAAAATAATACACCGAAAATAATGCAAGCATAATTACAATAAATAATCGGAAATAATAAATAATGATATATTTAAATTTTTTGAAAGAGTTAAAAATCTCCTATAAGAAAGACACGAGTGGTCTTCTGTAAATTTTATCAAAAATGGTTAAATATTATTGAACTTATATTGAAATATTACTGAATATTATTAACTATTATTGAAAGTGAAAGTTTAGCAAAGAATGACAATAAATTTATAAAGTAAAAAATATTTTAAAATATTTTCTTACTTCATCATCGTCTTCATCGATGGATTCTCCTTTGTTTGAAGATTCATTTTCAATTGCTGACGCCTCTTTGTTCTCATTAGCTTCTACAAAATAATCATTTAACAATTTATGTTTTCGTAATTTTTATCATAATTATCATATTCAAACAAATTCATTATAAGAAATCGGCTAATAAGTTTGTATAAAAATATATATGTATAAGGCATGACCTGTAGAGCGAATCAGAAAGTACTGTAGTATCATTGTGTAAACAGTGACGTAATATAATATAATTACTATGAAAATAAATTTCAACTCAGATCTCTCTCATTGTTAAAGAATTAAAGCATTAAAAATATGATACACTAAATATTAATACAAAAATCTGCGTACGTTCCACGAATTGTCTGTGTTTTAATTGGACTTGAATACGGGTGCAGATTACGAGTTCTACTTCTATTAAATAAACGGGTTTCGACAATGATAATCACACAGACTTTATATACAAGAAATTACATTTAAGTTTCGTGTTACATATCACAAGAATGCGAATTTAGTTCTCGATATCTCAGTTCTACAAGCGTTGATTTTACATTTATACATTATCTGTCTACGTCACACACGCAAAGAATCAAGAGAAAAGCTTAATTTTAAAAATACGGATGAGTTGTATACAATATTGTAAGTGCTAATAACGTGTAAAATCTTCATAAAGACCGATTCTCCACCAGACGTGATGGGTGACCGACTTCTATTTTTCACCCCTTCGACCTTTACGTAAACCATCAAAATTGAATAGCCTCGCTGTCCCTTATATTAAAGTTACCGTGCAAATTTCGGTTTGTAATGCTTACCTATTTCGAGATATTAAACGAAATAGACCTGGTCACACACGTATTTCGGGAATTACTTTTTTCATTATTTTGTGTGCGTAGGTGTCAAAACGACGATTCCAAAAACACTAAAGGTCAAATGCCTCACAATTAAATTATTATAGCAGCCGAAAAATAAAATTAATCCAATTATATTGCTTATGTGTTAAAATTGCAGAAAATTTAAAGATTATTAGAAATTTCTTGACATATATTTTGACGGACGATAAATTAATTGTCAATTAAATTTGATATCAGAAATGAGTACACAGCAAAATAATGAATTATGTCAAAAATAACACCATTGTGTCTTTTACCATCATTTCATTCGTTTGTTCACTCCACCTGAATAATGTTTTCGGTGAATTTTTATTTAATGTACGTTAAAATTGTTATTTAAACAGTACAGGAGAAGGTGGTATTATGGAACACTGCGGGTATTATGGAACCACCTCATTTCGAACTGATAATAAAGGCAAACTGTAGCGGAATGTGGCTGAACTGAACTAGGCAGACATCCATAGCAAGGGGAAAACCCGTTTTACTTCAGTTAAACGGTTGTCCGTATTTAATCAGCAAATTTGTTTTTTTCAAAATTCGCAAGTTTTGAATGCTAAGTGAATTTAATTATTTTTAAAATATAAATCGTGTAGTTGTAGGTTCACTGGTGCATGTATTCCGTTCCAGAGACTTAGGGGTACATATTAATCTGTGTGATGTTCACGTTTTTTAAATTTTGGTCTTGACAGACATAAGTTAATTCAAGATGGCGATGCGTGAAATACGGACCCCATTGGTGCTTTTACAGTAATATGGAACTCAACTCCTCCGAACTTTCTATTTGCAAGCAGACATTCCTCCAGAGCAATTTGTGAAAAAGACACTAGGTAGAAAGCCAATTCTTCCCGAGAATATCGAAAAAGAGCTGCTGGAATATATATTGTTGACGAAGGTCATATTTTTCTATTATAAAAGCATTTTTGCGATAAAATACATTGGAGTAAATAATTTGGTAATTATTTAACATTTTTTGTCCTTTCCTATTTGTTTTTGGCTACATTAAAGCATTTTTTTTGAAAATATACAGTAAGGTTCCATATTACCACCCGATTTTCTCTAAGCTACTTTCGGACTTTTTGTACAAAAGCCTTCAAAAACCATACTTATAATTACACTAGCGAAAAATCCAATTAGGAACATTTAGTTTACTAGTTACCGGTACTTTTCGCACAAAAACTGTGGGTGTAGTTATGATACCTTGTTTACAATTCACTAAAATGTAATTGGGGTTCCATAATACCATAAATACCATAATTCCATAAATGTGGGTGTAGTTATGATACCTTGTTTACAATTCACTAAAATGTAATTGGGGTTCCATAATACCACCTTCTCCTCTAACAAAAATCATTATCAAAAGTGTTTTTGATAAAATAAATGGAAACTTTCTATAAATAAACATTTTGAAATTAATTTTTTCTATTTTTGAATTGTTTCGAATATAATAAACTACAACATTCAACACACGTGAAAGACTGCGTATGGATAATTAATTCTAAGTTACTAAATCTAAAGAGATTTTAATACAATGAGTTTAATATTAAATCATCCCTTAATAATTTTTAAACAAATTATTTTATGAATCGGAAAAATTTTTATAATCTCTTTGTGACCTTACCTTCATTTAACACTTTTTCATTTGATTCCGATGGTTCTTCGTTCGTTCCCAGTTTTTCATCGGCAGCCTGTAAAAAGTGAAAAATTCAGATTCCTGATAGGATAATCCTACAGTATTCGTAGTGTTTTTTTATTAACTCAGAAAATATTTATTTAACAATAAATAAACAATTTGCAGCCATTTTAAATAACGCATTTTATAAGTTTGTGCATTGTTGAAATGGGTTTTTCAGTTTTAAATTTTTAAATGATAAGAATTATTAAATTAGTTTCAATTAAATTGTAACTTACGGCAGAAGACGATTCTCTTTTTCTCTTCTCTTCAGCAATTTTCTTGCGTTCTCGTTCCGCGAGAGCTCTTAGTTCCATGATAGCATGTACTATCTCTCTAACGGAATCTTCTATGGTTTTCCGATTAGGTGTTAATTGTTCATCAGTATTATGAACTTTTATTTCAATATTATCACCTAGACAATAAAATTAAACTCAATAAACAGAAATTCGTAAAACTTTCTTCGCCAGAATTCAAAAATTATATACGAATTTGAGGAAGAGAAACAAAGCAAATGACAAACAGTTTACACCAAATAAACAGATGGAATTGTTATTCTATAAAAATATTTTGGAACTTTATTCTATAGCAAATCCACAAAAATATAAAATAAAAATTTCAANATTCATATATTTCCAAAATTTTTAAAATCATTATCTTTATATTATTTTAAAATATAAATGTCTACGATTGAAACGTTATCATATCACTCATTGTAGAGCAGTGACATATCTATTATGAAACTAAGTGAGCTTATGCTTTAAGTTTTCTAATTTCCGATGGCCGCAAAGCGACTACATTTTCGGTATTCCGCAACTTGAACTGTTATCTTTCGTTGCTGGTTTCACAAAGGCCCCATAACAGTTCAAGCTTCAGGATACCAAAAATGCAGGGAGCCATTGACTTTGAGAAATTAAGCAATACTACATGTGATTTTAATGTATCCAATTATATTACTGTTAATATTACATAAAGTTACTAAATAATCTTTCTATACATCCATTTGTGCTGTTGCTTTTGCAGTGTCGCAAGACTACAATTTTACAAGATTTTGTATTAGAGAAGAACACGAAACACATACATAATTTAGTTCAGTTAACCAACTAACTCACTAAAATTGTGTACCTTAAGTGGGTTTAGACTTATACTATCTACATCTAAATAAAACCACCGAACACTAGCAGTTGGTCGTGGATCCGAATCGAATGTATACACAAATCAATTGATATATAGAAATTCAATCAATATTTCGGGGTAGTATGTATGACATTATCTAAGTTAGAAGTATGTTGACGGAACTGTCGAGTTTCATAGTAATTTGTCGAACGGCCTATGCGTGCATAGCGAATAAACATATTCATTTATATATACATATAAATTAAAGATACATGCCTAACGTATTTTTAACAGTTTCCTAGGTGTGACAAGGAGAAAATTCAAAAGAAGTATAAAGGAACATATCAGAGCCATAAAAAAAAATAATGAAAATTCGGCAGTAGCAGAGCATTGTAATAAAGAAGGACGTGGATTTGTTTTAGATACGATTAAAATAAAAAAAAAACATGAAACAATTTTAAAAGACAGTTATACGAACATATTTATCCAGCAGTCATCGAACAGTATTATCGATAACAGAAGCAATAGAATGGAAACTTTATAAAAGGAGTACGCTAAGTAAAAATATTATTCATCGTTTGCTGTTGCAGACACAGGTATGTGAGTTTCTTTCAAACGTTTCAAAACATTATATATTTATAAATGTGTTTTAACTTTATACAGGTATTGTGATATAATGATGGGAATTCTTCTGTGTATTTATTTACATACCGAAGTAATTAACGAAGGTAAAATTGTAAGTCATGCTAACACCAATATATTATTGTCGGGTAATCTTTGTATTATAGTATTGTAAAATTTTATAAATTTTTGTTTTTTTAGCATTATGTTTTTGTAAACCTGCTGAAGAGAGACCTGAAAGTCCGAAACACAAAGAAAGTGTGTACAAGCGAAATACGTGGTGAACAATAAAGATTGTTTGTTTTCTCTGGATCAATTTTTTTAATTGCAGAAACCGAACACTAGTAAAGTCCTATTAATAAGCGCTGTCCTAGTAGATAATTATATAAGAAACTGTATAAAATATGGACATAAATGCATATGAAAGTACAGAGCGAATGATTCGATTTCACGTGCCGCCCAGCAAAAATCCACAGCAAAAATTTTTATTACATAAATTTTAAAATGTGCCCTTCTCTTATAATTATATAAACGATTTTTATTGATTAATTTATTAGTTTTTTTAATTTTAATTAATATTAAAAGCGTAATCTGGAATGTAACGTTCATTTTTATACGATTAAGAAAAATATCATGAAAATAGTACACCGATTAAATTGTTTGAACTCAACGAAATGTAATAATTAAAATTTATGCAATATTCTACATTACTTTTTAGCTATCGCCGATTTTACTTTCGTCTTCCGAAACAAGAACGGATGGTAAACGGAAGTCTTCGCAAAAATTTCACAAATACGTCCATACATTTCGGTGTTTTCTGATAATAATATAAATATTTCGTCAATAAAATATGAAGATTATATTATCCATAGTTTATGTTAAAATATTGGTTTAAAATTAATACTACGAAAGTAATGCAAGCCTAATTACAATAAATAATCGGAAATAATAAAAAATGATATATTTAAATCTTTTGAAAAAGTTAAAAATTTCCTATTAGGAAGACACGAGTGGTCTTCTGTAAATTTTGTCAAAAATGGTTAAATATGAGAAATGATTTCAAATTCTGAACATTTACAAGTGTACATTAATCAAATTCAATGGATTTTTTCAAAGTCCTTCAATAATTAAATATCTTAATTCGTCTATTCATAACTTTGCCCATTCATAAAGTAATATTTGAATATTTACAGTTTGATTACATTTATTATTCTTTTAATTTTGAATATATAATTTATATACAAAATGTTTTCCTACTGTCATTTAAAATGTATAAAATCATTGTAGACAGAGGAGAAAAAAAAACATTTTAAATATACCAAAACACTATTGAAAGTGAGAGTTTAACAAAGAATGATAATAAATTTATAAAGTAAAAAATATTAAAAAATATTTTCTTACTTCATCATCATCATCTGCAATTGCTGACATCTCTTTATTCTCTTCTATCGCTTTTTTGTTCATATTAGCTTCTGCAAAATAATCATTTAACAATTTATCTTTTCGTAATTTTTATCATAATTATCATATTCAAACGAATTCATTATAAGAAATTTCACCCGGCTAATAAGTTTATATAGAAATATATATGTATAAGGCATAACCTCTAGAGGAAGTCAGAAAGTAATACCATTGTGTAAACAGTGAGGTAATATAATATAATTACTATGAAAATAAATTTGAACTCAAATCTCTTTCATTGTGAATGAATTAAAGCATTAAAAATATGATACACTAAATATTAATACAGAAATCTGCGTACGTTCTACGAATTGTCTGTGTTTTAATTGGAATTGAGTACGGATGAAGATTACGACTTCGACTTCTATTAAATAAACGGGTTTCGATAATAATAATTACACCGACTTTATATACAAGAAATTACATATCAGAAGAATTCGAATTTAGTTCTTCATGTCTCAGTTCTACAAGCGTTTATTGTACATTTATACATTATCTGTCTACATGACACACTCAAAGAATCAAGAGAAAGTTTAACTTTAAAATTACGAATGAGTTGTATACAATATTGTAAGTGCTAGTAACGTGTAAAATTTTCATAAAGACCGATACTCCCCCAGATGTGATGGGTGAGCCACTTCCATTTTTCATCCCTTCCACCTTTAACCATCAAAATTGAATAGCCTTGATGCTTCTTATATTCAAGTTACCGTGCAGATTTCGGTTTATAATGTTTACTTTCCCGAGATATTAAACGAAATAAACGTGGTCACACACATATTTCGGAAATTATTTTTTTCACTATTTTGTGTGCGTAGGTGTCAAAATACGACGATTCCAAAAACACTAAAGGTCAAATGTTTCGCGATTAAATTCTTATAGCAGCGGAAAAATAAAATTAATTTAATTATATTGCTTATGTGTTAAAATTGCAAAAAATTTAAACATTATTAGAAATTTCTTGATTTATACTTTGACGAATGATAAATTAATTGTCAATTAAATTTGATATCAGAAATGAGTACACGGCAAAACAATAAATTATGTGAAAATTAACAACATTGTGTCTTTTGCGATCATTTCACTCCATCTGAATAATGTTTCCGTTTGAATTTTTATTTAATGTACGTCAAAGTTGTTATTTAAGCAGTAACAAAAATCATTATCAAAAGTGTTTTTGATGAAATAAATAGAATCTTTCTAGAAATAAACAGTTTGAAATTAATTTTTACTATTTTTAGTTGTTTTCAATATAATAAACTACGACATGCAATACACTTAAAAGACTGCAGATGGATAATTAATATTAAGTTACTAAATTTAAAGAGATTTTAACAAGATGAGTTTAACATTAAATCATTCCTTAATAATTTTTAAACAAATTATTTTATGAATCGGAAAATTTTTTATAATCTCTTTGTAACCTCACCTTTATCTAGTCCTTTTACTTTCTCATTTGATGACGATGGTTCTTGATTCGTTTCCAGTTTTTCATCGGCAGCCTGTAAAAAGTAAACAATTCTGATTCCTGATAGGATAATCTTACAGTATTCGTAGTGTTTTTTTTTATTAACTCAGAAAATATTTATTTAATAATACATAAGATTGTAGATTGTAGAAATGGGTTTTTCAGTTTTAAATTTTTAAATGATAAGAATTATTAAATTAGTTTCAATTAAATTGTAACTCACGGAAGAAGACGATTCTGCTTTTCTCTCGTCTTCAGCAAGTTTTTTGCGCTCCCGTTCCGCTAGAGCTCTCGCTTCCATGGCAGCATACGCTATCTCTTTAGCAGAATCCCAACCCACTAGAGCTCTCAGTTCTATCATAGCACGCACTATATTTCTGATAGAATCTTCTACGGTTTTTTCTTCCGGATCAGGGATTCTATTACCGTCACTTACATCATCTGTCAAAAACAAAGGAAATGACAAACAGTTTACACCAAATAAACAGATGAAATTGTTATTCTAGAAAAATATTTTGGAAGTTTATTCTAAAGCNGAAATGAGTACACGGCAAAACAATAAATTATGTGAAAATTAACAACATTGTGTCTTTTGCGATCATTTCACTCCATCTGAATAATGTTTCCGTTTGAATTTTTATTTAATGTACGTCAAAGTTGTTATTTAAGCAGTAACAAAAATCATTATCAAAAGTGTTTTTGATGAAATAAATAGAATCTTTCTAGAAATAAACAGTTTGAAATTAATTTTTACTATTTTTAGTTGTTTTCAATATAATAAACTACGACATGCAATACACTTAAAAGACTGCAGATGGATAATTAATATTAAGTTACTAAATTTAAAGAGATTTTAACAAGATGAGTTTAACATTAAATCATTCCTTAATAATTTTTAAACAAATTATTTTATGAATCGGAAAATTTTTTATAATCTCTTTGTAACCTCACCTTTATCTAGTCCTTTTACTTTCTCATTTGATGACGATGGTTCTTGATTCGTTTCCAGTTTTTCATCGGCAGCCTGTAAAAAGTAAACAATTCTGATTCCTGATAGGATAATCTTACAGTATTCGTAGTGTTTTTTTTTATTAACTCAGAAAATATTTATTTAATAATACATAAGATTGTAGATTGTAGAAATGGGTTTTTCAGTTTTAAATTTTTAAATGATAAGAATTATTAAATTAGTTTCAATTAAATTGTAACTCACGGAAGAAGACGATTCTGCTTTTCTCTCGTCTTCAGCAAGTTTTTTGCGGTCTCGTTCCGCTGAAGCTCTCATTTCCATAGCATACACTATGTCTCTAACAGAATCCCGACCCACTAGAGCTCTCAGTTCTATCATAGCACGCACTATATTTCTGATAGAATCTTCTACGGTTTTTTCTTCCGGATCAGGGATTCTATTACCGTCACTTACATCATCTGTCAAAAACAAAGGAAATGACAAACAGTTTACACCAAATAAACAGATGAAATTGTTATTCTAGAAAAATATTTTGGAAGTTTATTCTAAAGCAAAGCCATAGAAACATAAAATAAAAATTTTAAAAAATCAATTGATTTCTATTTAAAAATTTTTAAATTTAAACGTGATATATCAGCATAAATATTGCATTATTATTAATTGTGTAAAAAGTGTAAATTGTTTCAATCATAAAGTCAACTGAAAATGTAATATTACTGAAGAGTTATTCTCAGTCGAAGTAAATGAACTGATATTTATTAAAATATACTCAAAAGCTTACTTTATTTTAATTAATGGAATTTAATAAAAAGTCTGAGTAAAATGTGTTTTAAATTTTCAGTTTGTAGATTAAATTAAAAAATGTAATTAATAAAACGTTTGTTTATATTACAGTTGCGACGACTTTTTATCAGATTATTTTAAATTAACAAGAGATTTTAATCTTATTTTTCAATATCTTATCTTATTGTAAATATGTTCTTGTAATTTCTGTTTGCTACTTTTTATTCGTCTTAATGGAACCGAATATTTAAATACTAGAAATGATGAGGAAATAAAATAATTAGTTGTTATTCATTTGCAGAAAATACGTTTAATGCTCTAATTGTCTCCAGCAGAAAATGAATGCAAAGTTAAATATCGTTTCACCCCATAACATGATTTTTGTTGGGATTTTTAAACATCCCGTAGAATATTACTGTTAATTGAATGTCTTTATATTCATTGCGAACACGTTATAAAAGAGTTAATATAATTATACGATAAAAAGAATTTAACTTACTTAAAGAACTCATTTTGTAACGCAAACTTTCGTATTCGACAATTTTTCCTCGAACAATTAATTCTCTTCGACAATCGCCGAAAAACTATTCTTTATATTTATTGTTTAAGCAACACGGAATGATAATCGCAGCGCGTGCTAAGAATTACTCATGTCAATCAATTCAATTTTGGGTTTTTTTTTTGTGGGTAACTACAAAGTAATACGCGTGCGATTATAAATGAGGATGTAAGTTTTTCCCTTCTCGGTCCTTCGACCAATTGCTACGGAACTCGGTACATACTTTCAAATTCTTCTAACGTACATCATGTCGTACATTTCACCCCAAAATATCGATTGGATTTCTATAAATCAATTGATTTTTGTTTACATTCTATTTTCTGGATTACTCGTAGCGCCATTTACTGATAAAAATTTAACAAAATAATTAACTTCTGTAAGGTCTCTTTTTATGCGGATTATTTTTATGCGATTTTGAAGTTGTGCGGTTTGTATTTCATCCAAAAATTTCTTGGACAAGCATACATATAGGCTTGTTTAGGAAGCCCGCGTATAGACAGTCTCCAAAAATCGTGGAACGCTCAAAGCTCACTCCATTTGTTCCACTGACATATTACGTTAATGGATGTAAANACAAAAGGGTCAGATGTTATCATGTTACTATAACAAGGGCGAATTCCCTGGGCTTGCTTAGCCTGCGCCGCATGTCTAATTAATAATTCTATTACAGTGATAAGAGGTGAATAAAATAATCCTGTGTAATGTATAGTAAAAAATATTATTTATACAAACATTCTCCCATTATTAAGTTTCTTAAATGATAAAAGTTATGCAACTAAAATCTTAGCTGATAAACTGTAAATGAGAGTAACCTTCCGTTAAATTAACAGACATTAAAATCCGAAATGCGAATTTAGTTTCGAGATCATTCGAAAGGATTTTTAAAAAGAAATTGTAAGTTAATTAATTTTTAAATAATTAATTTTATTTAATTAATACTAACAGATGAGTCCGGCGTTACTCGAGCTAAAAAATAACAACAGCAAAGATTAAGATTATTAGATTATTTTATCCTTATAACCTTTCTATTATATTATGTTATGGTATTTGATTTATATTTAGAAAGATTATCTTACGTAAGGGTTCACACCAAGTTCCCAATCTAACATATTTTTAAAATTCTTTAAAATGTGTACTGTACAGGAATAAAGACTTTTTAAAATGTGTTAGATTGGTTACAGTGTGATAAACCCTTACGTGATATAGCCTTTGTAGTTACGAAATTAAATACCATAATATAACGAATATTAAAAAGAAAATCATATAAAAATTTGGTTATTTTGCCTAGCATTGTTAAGTTTATCGCGATACTCGGATGGTAAGAAATGACACAATTTTATTGGTAAAGTTTGAACCAATTGAAAAATACGATATCTTAAATTTTTAAAATATCATATTTTTTCTAATGTTACCTCTAAGAAACTGTACCATTTACAGCCGAATATCAAAATCTGCAAAATAATCTGCCTACCGAACAAATTTCGCGATAAACGGACCAAATATTTAAACTCGACACCCATGAAAACCTTTAACCATAAAATTTGACAACAAAAATCCCGTAATGAGCATATTTCACTGCAAAATTTCAAAAATTTAAATAGCAGTTGTTAATATCCAAAGAGAGCAAACAGAATTGTGAGATCCAAAATTAATTAAAATAAACAAATTTGACGAACTAATTAGAAAAAAATCGATCTTTGCCAAATGTGTAAACCTTCCTGTCCTATCTATCGCTATCTGCAGAACTTGCGGCTCATCTTGCAGAAAAGTTTATGGTTAACATCCAACTTTCGTCACTTATCTTTAATGATTCATCTTCTGAATCGTTCTTGAAATATAAATGGCGTATAGAAAAGAGCTCAAGAAGGCGAATATTTTGACAAAAACGTCCAATCAAATAGATGTTCACGTATTGAAAATTATTTAGTTTCATTTCTACCACGTGGTTTCCTGATAGACTCAACAGCTGAACAACTCCTTCTTTAAATGTATATTCTCTGTTATCCTTATCAATAGTCACGGATAATCGACTTAAANTAAAAATCTTTAACGATTCATCTTCTGAATCGTTCTTGAAATATAAATGGCGTATAGAAAAGAGCTCAAGAAGGCGAATATTTTGACAATAACGTCCAATCAAATAGATGTTCACGTATTGAAAATTATTTAGTTTCATTTCTACCACGTGGTTTCCTTATAAACTCAATAGCTGAACAACTCCTTTTTTAAATGTATATTTTCTGTTATCCTTATCAATAGTCACGGATAATCGACTTAAGTTGTGAAATGGCAGCAAGATAATAATGTCTGCATCGTTAATTGAAACTATACAAACAAAAAGACTTGACGAAAGGTACAATCAGAATTCCCACAGTTTCCCGATCTTCAGTTGAGAAAAGATATAAATTTGTTAGATATAATCGATTTTTAAAATTTTATTGTACGTAAAGATAAAACGTAGTAATTCGTTTATTTTTTTTTCTACATTTATCTTTGTTATTGGAAGAAATTCTAAGACGTACGAAAGTCCCTTTGGTGTAACAGCTGTGTCGATTACTTTTAAAAGTTTGAGATATTTGTAATGAGTAATTTTTCGTTTGTCGAGTTGGGAGTACTTCGTACACTGAGACACCACTGTATATATTTCTAGCGCTGATATTTTAGATTAAGAATAATTTTGTAAAGTTCACTTTTCATAAAATTTTTCTCCTGTTATCACGTTTCCTTTTAATGATAAATTTTTTAGTACTTTAATTAAATTGGTTTAATTAACTGCAAGCATGAAGATTCTGCTGCTTATAATTGTAATTATTTTTGTATTAATTCATATTTCGTATGAAGAAACTACGAATGAATTTTGCTGTAAGTAGGATGGATCATAATGATGATAACAAAACGAGCAATTATTTATTGTGACATCGTCACAATGCCGGGCTGCAATTTTTAATCATATTTTTAATTAATTTAATTCAAAATATATGCTCTTAACCTTAAATTAGTAGTGGTTTGCCCCTGTACTTTTCCTTTAACAATAGAGTCGTCTGTCTAACACCTTTCGGCGGAAAAGTTTTGAATTGACGTAAAATGACTTTCGGAAGTTGTTATACAGTTAATCGGGCCTCCTGCCCTTAAGATTTCCATATCTTGTCTCGGATTTTATCTGCCTAACTCTTTTCTAAAAACGGACGACAGTGGGAATTTATAGGTTACAAAAAATGAAACAATTAATACTTTTCCCAATTTAACACATAATATGAGACAACATGTCTACAATTATGGTATTCTTCAAGCACATTTCCACAATTAAAGGCCGTTGGAATGTACTGCAATTAACATTGCTTTGGTTCTCTTTGTTTTATTGAAAAAACTATATTTTTAACTATACAAAGTAGGTATATACTAGTTTTATACGTTGTCAGTCAAACATTTTATTATTTTCTTTTTTATTTGCATATTGCTTCTTAAACAGTGGTACCGCAAATATAATTAAGAGTGCTATCATCAAATTTTCATTTTCCAAATGTACTGTACAGATATAAATTTAAGGATATGTGGCACAGTCTAATTTCCATGACTAGTTAATCTACAAATTTTAAGTTTATCTGTACATTTTTTATGTTCCTTGCAGAAATTATCACATTAAGTAATTCTTACCATTTACGTGATTTTAAATAACTGAATCGGAAGGCAAGATATTTCATGCAAAAGCCCACTGTACACCTATGTAACTTACTGTGTATTTGCATTTTAATTGTTGAATAATGTCAGTTTTTTATAGGTGACGTTATCGTTTCGTNGACCTTACAGTACATATAATTCTTATCAAATGGAAAATAATTCTATAAAATATATATATTATATTCACTAAATTACTACCACAATAATTTAACGTGAAATAGATGCCCCAATACGCAATTACTGAAACAGATAGTACTGTACAGTGCATAGCAGTCGCCTGCGTGCAATGTAGTAGTGTTTT